CAAAATATTATTTTTTAATTTTTTTACTAATTGAGAATTATTATAATAGTCAAAGTTGAGTATCGACAAATGTGAAATGTTGACCGTTGCATTTACTTACGTATGGAGGATGTATAAGTTTAATCATATAAAGCTTGTCATTAAAAAAATTAAAAATTCATGGAACCAACTTATTATTTATTTTAAAAATTCTGAAATTTTGAAGATATATCAATAGTATAACTACTAAATGGGTAAAAATATTTAATCAATTTATTTACCTGACAGCTTTAAGTCTATTTGAGGTTTCTTCACTTGGATCACATAAGTACATCTGCAAAAATTTGGGTTGACCACCGTCCCTTGGAAGAAGGCTACCAATTCTATGGTAGTTTTGTCCATTTATTCGAAATATTGGTGGCGTTTTCCCTTGATTGATGTCTTTGTCTTGTTTTCCTCCCATAGAAGTGAATGCAAACATTGCATTATATGAGCGGATGTTTTCGAGGAAATGACGGCTACGCTCGTCAGAACCAAATATCAAACTTTTTAAGGGTTCGGGTGGCTCTTCCATTGCAGGCAGTACAACATCTCCTTGATTACAACACGGGGAGAATTTTGGTGGTTTTCCTGCAGGACTTTTCCTTACTCTTTCTTCGTACCAAAACAAAGCACCACAAAATTCACACTCATAAGATGAATCCCCAAGATCTGCATAGGCTGAAAAGATTGGAATCTAAATTACTACACATAAGTGGCAAACATAGTCATGTGGTTGTTCAAGGATTCAATTGTTGACTCTTTTGTAATATGTTGTATTGCGCATATAGTATAAATGTTTTGTTGTAAAACATATGTATACACGTTCAAACTTAGCTTGAATAATACCTTCACTTAAACAACTCGCATATTTAGCATCGTCTGTATGTCAAGAACATGGAATAATGATATTAGCAATGTGTGAAAATATACATACACACACATATATGTATGTATGTATTGGTTTATATTATATTGGTTTATGCATGTAATGTACAATTAAATATAATGTTCAATTACGAACCATGGAATACAGGTTGCTCATGTGAGGAGGCACCGATAACATCGTCTTGATCGTCCTTTTGGTTGGCTTCTATAGAGTTTGGAATTCACAAAATCATTATGCTTTGATTAACATCTATCAATGATGTTTTAATTTACTTAGATCTTAGGAAAATAGGTTAAGAAGAAAAAAACTAACCTTCATTAGTAGCATCACCTTTAAAATCCTCCGTGGGATTCTTGCTACTTTCTGGGGGTCTATCTTGTGTTCGAGTAATGCATGTCCCCATAACCGTGTAATCATCAGTCGGCAATATGATGTTGCCGATTTGCCATTTATTGTGAGCTATTGGAATTATACGTGTAACACTTTCCCGTACAATGCTCTCCTTCTGTTGGACTATTGAACAAAACAATATGATTCAATACACGATTCTTATAATAAAAGAACACATGGAGTGAGGTATTATACATAATTACCGTTGGTGAGTTGAGTGTCTAGGTTTTCTCCAACGGTTGTTCCTTCTTGAAGAGGATGGTCGCTAATATTCAACGACGGACTTGCAGATTGAAATGCATCTCGTGATCGTTTACCCAATATAGTAGTTGACTTAGTCAACTTCTTCATCTGCTTTATTAATGTCAACATTAATTCAAAAGTCTTTAGTTTTTTCATTTTCATATTTATTAATATAAAACATAATTTTTATCACAATTAGGAGTAATGAATTAAAAATAAATAGTATAAGAATTAGACATAGATGCACATTAATGTAAGAAAATATGTTGAAAGGTTTGATTTTACACAAATTGATAAATGTTATCATACAAAATAAAAATTGTAAAAATGAAATAATCTTTGTTTTCTTCTTTTTCAGTTTGAAATTATTAAGTATATTATTTATCACATCAGGCACCACGAGTTTTAAATTAATAAGACCAAAAATCGGAGTTAGTAGTACAAAGTCTATATTTTGAAAGAATGAACAACTATTCTAAAATATATTCCTAATGTACTCACAGTAGTTGTTTCCCACCCTTCTATGGATATATGTAAGTCCGAAACTATAACTAAACAATATTATATTCCTAAAGTATAATTGAAATTAAATCATTTAAATAATATCCAATTGTTATCTAAAAAAAATTCATTTTCAGATTTTATGTAAAAAAGTATTATGCATTATTTATCAGTCTACTTATTCTTAAAGTTAATTTCTAAAATTGCTGGTTCATCTAGGTATTTCGAATCCTATATATGCACGTACCTCAGTCTACTACATCAATTATACCTAATTTATATTTCTAAACTATAATTAACTTTACACTCCGTTTTGTGATAAATGAATATAAAAACCTAACCGATAAGATATGATGTCACTATATGAATAAATACATAGAAGTACAAATTGATTACAATTGTAATTGAAAAGCATCCTAAAGTAATTTTATTGGTAGTAAAACTATACTTTCAATTATAATGGATGTACTTCTAAAACTCTGTATAATATTATAGAAGTAATATTGCTGGTCCGCTGAAAATAATCCCAACTATTGATTATTTTTGTATAATCCCAACTATATAGACTATCCGCCAATAATGATCCATGACCATATATTACCTCTATAAAAAGTAAATTTTAAATAGAAATTAAGCGTAAAAATTAAAAGTTGAGATTATTTATAGGGATTACTTGTTATATCTCATCTCATCCACTTTAGAAACTACAAGAATTTATTCATAAGGACCATTATTGGCGGAAGGTCCCTAAAGTTGGGATTATTCTGTAATAATCAATAGTTGAGATTATTATAAGCGTACAGCCAATAGTTGAGATTATTAGTATCAATTTTTCCTTTTAATTATTGATTTTTAAGTATTTTCAATAGATAATATCATCTACTCCTAGGTCATTAAAATAACGAATACAATTGGTTAGGTTTATGGCTCTTCAACTAAACATTTATCTAAAGTAACGTGTAGAAAGATGGCTAAGTTTATAACTCTTTAACTAAAGATTTATTAATTATATTAATCTTGCAATTTCCTTCAATTGTAGATTACTTAATTTTAATGGGAAGTACGAATTTTAAAATTTTAAAGTAAAAGTTAATATATTCAAAAATAACCTGTAGTTTTTTTATGATTCTATAGAAATAACATGTAGCAGGATATATCAGCTAGAATAATATGCTAACGATATAATACTTCCAAAGCAAACTGTTAATCCTCTCCTTAATAGCACTACACATCTAGAAATGAGTTTCCCGCTCCTTCAACTTCTCATCTCATCCGTCCAATTCTAATAAAATGAATCAACCGCTTCTACCCTTTGTTTCCTTCTCACTTCTACCTTCCGTTTCTTTATGTTCTTTCTTCTTCCCAAATAGCAACAAGCTCTGGAAAATCACCTGTAATATCTGCCCAAAAATAGATCAATCACTATTGCCTCCTTCACTGTTGCCCTGAAATCGTCATCATCGAAATCATCAGCTCGGAAATCATCCTTAAAAGGTGGTGCTACCTTCGATTTCATTCTTCTGCCATTTTTAGCATCCATCTTTGCGCAAATCATAGGCCGAAAAAGGAGTCTCTTGGCCTCAATTCAGCCAATTCAAACTAAGTTTGGTAAACATGTTCTTCTTCCTTCGCAATCATCTTCTTATATGCGTCCTTGCCTTCAATTTTCTTTCACAAGCACGAGGTGAATGTAATTCTACTTTATGATTCATACAATTTCCTTCAAATCTTCTATTTAGTCACCTCTAATTTCCTAATATTTTTCTTAAATGATTTAAAATGATTATTCGTAGATGCAGCTCTTCTTGCACTAGCCATGTAAGAAACTGAGAATGGCCATGTCAATAAAATGATTTATTCCACTTATGCATATTTTATTTTGGATATTTGAGAAGTAGATACTTTGATAGCAAGGTGTTTGTTATAATTCCTCAATGAACATTTTCTGGACATTTGAAAATTAGATAGTTCGATAGAGAGGGAATACCGTTTTTACTTAAAACTTCACATTTATGTTCTATTTTAGTTACATCTTACTGTGAAAACTAAAAGCTCAAATTTTAACTTACACTTATGATGTAGGAATTGTATGTGTGTGTGTGAATGAGATTTTTCTTATCAATTCTATATAATTTATTGTGTATAAACACAATTAGTGACTCATAAACATTGTTATGTCATTATTGAAATGACATTTTTTTGTTAAACCTATGCACATATGATTTATAAATGCATGGCAATTTGTTATAGTTTTTTTCTCTTTACTATTTAGAATATGTAGGCTCCTTAGGCCCATTGGACTGAATGTACGTGTTGTGGGCAGTAGCAAAGGGGCCTCACCGCCTTTGCTTCAACCCATTTGTCTTCCGTCTGCTCGTGTCACTATTTCCTCTAGGCCCACCTACGATTGATTGGGGACTTATTCAATAGGTCCTCCTCCCTTGAGCTATTTACATTTGTTCTAATTTTTTTCAACTATATACAAAATTTGATGTACTTGTGTATCATTACGGTATACAATTAAGAAGTGTTCTAAAATGTACGAGTTAGTGTCATTTTAGAGACTATAAATATCATACTTTATAGAATTATAGTTAATGTCATTTTAGAGTAATGTACGTTCGAAAATAAAACTTCTAATTATCGTAGAGCAACTTAGACTATACATGATGATCAACAATCCAGGAAATATTGAAATAACACACCTGAAAGAATACTTTAGGGCATGTGTCTATATCTAATTGAGCAAGAATAAGTTAGTATATAATAGATTAAGTTTCAACAGGATGATACCATACAAAATAGGCTTCCTTGGTAAAAAAACTGCAATCTTTTACCCAAAAAACTGCAATCTTTTTTCTAATATTTAATACTATTCCAATTTGTTCAACACTGCATCAAGATTTGTCACTAATATCTCAATACTATTCCATTTTATTGCTTTTCATTGGTTACATCCATCAGCACTTCCTTGCATCGGTAATCTACTCAAGGATGGTAATTTATATTCCTCTCTCCATTTGGTTTTAGATTAAAAACTCAGATTTTGATTCCCGTTTTAGCATTCTTTCCTTCAAACCTATCACTTTTCTTTGAATTTATTCATCTTAGTTCTTTCTTTTCAAAGACTCAAAAGCCAAGAAAGCCCTCACAAAATAAAAGTATGGGCTGAACATTGCAAGGGACCATAGTGGTAAAGTCCTATCAGAGATTTTGTACGGTGGAATTTGGAGATTTATTAATATCTTATATATTTAGTTTCTATGCTTGAAGAGTTTTAAATGTTTTATTTTTTGTTGTTAGGTTGCTCTTGCAAAGTCGTGTTCAGATACCTCTACTTCCCTCCAGGAGAGAGCAGCTGGTGTTTTTTTAGGCATGTCTGTCTCAGAAACAAATAGGGCATGCCTATCTCAGAAACAAATAGGTTTGTTATTTTTCAAATTTTGTTGTTACTAACAATGTTAAACGTTGGTACCAATAATACTACATTTTAGACATTGACATTAGTTTAGCCACCACTAAATTGAAATAGACTAACATTACTTTTGCTTCATATGTGAGTCTAAATTACCATGCCTGAGTAGAGGAAAAATATGTAGATATTTGAATGGCTTTTTAATCATTGCTCGGTTTAATGTGTTCAAGAAAAAGTAAGGCTTTGACAAAAATCAAATTCCTGCTCTGGTTAGTTTCAACTTCGGTCACTTTTGTTCCCAGCCAGGCTAGCTATTTGGGTGATTAGGTAAAAAAAGAATTTGCAACTGCTACTATCATGCCTCCCTCATATATCAGAACCTCCATATCTTCAGTAACTTCCCTATTTCTCCCATTGTCTAAACACGGTGCACATTTTAAAGCCATCCGCCTTCTATGCATCACACTACTATTGGGGTACTTCAGTAGTTGTTTCAGGTATTCTACCCCCAACATGGGGTCTTAAGAGTTCAAAGTTCCCAAACATTTACATTGTTCTGTCAAATTAGTTTTTAAATCTACTAGGTAGTTTTTATTTTCCACTGACTTAAAAACTACAACAATTTGGATTTGTGTGTTCTACTTTTTTTGTCAATAAGCATAGGGCGGACAAAGAATTTCAGATTGGTGATTTAGTGTATGTCAAACTTCATCCATATAGACAACACTATGTCGTTTACCGATCGAATCAGAAACTACCACCTAAACTCTTTGTTTTATGGTCCATTTGAAATTCTGATTCAGATTGGAATGTTAGCATACAATTTTGAAACTATCAGCTAACTATCACCTGACCAATCTAAGATTCATCCTGTCTACCGAATTTCACAATTGAGGAAGCATCATGGACCATCAGTCCATTACCTATAATAAGTTCTATTCCTGCAGGCTGTAGTGGATGGCTGTTTACAACTGAGGATTGAAGCAGCGGTTAATTTGGACAGGAAGATTGTGAAAGAAGAAGAAGTGCAGTTTATTCAATGGCCCAATGGTCCATTGGTCTGAGTTTCCCTTGGATTGAAATCCTAGCTTGACGAGAAGCTTCAAATTAGGGGTGGATTGCAATGAATTCACAACTGAGTCAACTGTATTTGGCCACGTGGGATTATGACTCAGCACTTATGATAGCTAATGGTTCAGTTAGTTGTTAAACTGAAATTGGTGGTAATTCCATTTTCTTTAAATAGTTGATTGTAAAGTAGTTGGAGCTAATTCAAAATATATCTTCTTCTTCTTCCCAAAACTCTCTGTAAACTGGTTGAGTTCTTGCTGTGTCCGGATTCTTTTCTTATCATTAAGAATTCATGTTAGTAATCTGGCTTACTTTTGGATTTTAATCCCCCAGTCATAGCAAAGAGCAATAGAACTAGGGGTGGACTTGGTCGGTTCGACCCGACCCGGCCTGTTACTGTGTTGTACCGGTCCGATCCGGTCGGCCGGGACCGGGACTGAGGCCCGAACCGGAGCATTATTTTGGCTGGCTAGGGGCTTCCTAAATGATGGACCGGCCGGGTCGGGCCCGAGTACTTTTTTTTAAAAAAATTGGGCTGCTAGGTTGGTAGGGGAGTGGGGCTGGGTGGTTTGGGGGGTGGGGATGGGTGGGGTTGGAATTATTTCAAAAAAGCCTTAAATAAATAAATAATAATTCATACCCGACACGACCCGGCCGGGTCCGGTCCGGGGGTGAGTAATTTTGACCCGGAGCCCGCCCCAGCCCGACCCGGGCCCGTTCCACCCCTAAATAACCTTAACTTTGCAAGCAAGCATTTTAGATTTTTAAATTTCAATCGGTATCCTTGAGGAAAACCCCTTCTGAACTGGATGCTAAAATATTATCATTCAAAATTGAGTGTAATAGAACCACAAGCTATTCATAGAGGGGAAAGGAAGCTGGAGTAACTGTTTACTAAAAAAAGGAAATTGGATTAAAGCAAGCAAATCAGAGAGATAGTAATTGTTACCATTTCATACCTGACTAAATATGGAGAATAAATAGTAGATGAGAGGAAAATGGAGATGGAAAACGATGGTGCATATGATAGCTTTGGGTTCTCGCTAATGAGGAGAGAGCGATAAATTGAAATATAGACTCCCATAACTGATTTGAGAGAGCACGGAAATGACGGAACTGCTGAAAAGAATAAGGTAAAATAAGCCATAGATTGTAACTTATGCGTTTTGGCGGCTGAGCCTTTGCGGTAAGGCAAAATTCCATATAGTATTGCTATTATGTAAAAAGAATTAAGTCTTTTAACATCAAACATACCTTAGTATTGTAAATTGTGATTCATTGAAATGATTATTAATTACTAATAATATGTGTTGAGTAATTATTGCTAACAATTCGACAATGTAGAACTATGCCATAAAGTATTCAATTTTAAATATTATTTTTGAATATTTAAAATTCAAAACACGCCAAAAATTATTTTGATTAAATTTAGTTCGAATGGGTGTTTTCCTGTTTGTACAATGTATGTACAATTAGTGGTCATTTTACATGATAAATATTTTATAATTTTTATCGTAACTTTATAATTTTTTATCGAAATGTGATCATTACAGAATACAGATATCATGTACGAAGCTTCTTATTACAAACATGTTTCTATAGAGTCCCGAAGAGAACAATATATCTATGAAATTTATCCCATGCAATGCACGAGTGGAGAATTTTATGTACGTGCTTCACTCCCGTGCAACGCACGGGTGGAGTAACTAGTGGATTTCATTGCAAAACTGGTTTGATACATTTTTGTGGTCTATTCAAATTTTGAAATAAATCAATTATTGGAGCCTGTGCAGTCCCATTTCGTGGAGACTGAGATATACCTGAATTGAGTTAGTTTTAAAGATCAATTTCGATCTATCTATATTATATATTAAAACGGAATAGTGTGGCAACCTTTGGGCGGGAAGATTGTATCGATACTTTGGGTGGCCAGTTTCTGTAAAAATGTTTAATAAACAAATGGTCCACATAATTGAAAAGAAATTAATGGCACGAGTGATTTTAATTGCACACGGCTAGAGAGAAAATGTGGAACATAATTAATGAAATAGCTGTTTATAATTATTACCCTTAAAGACAACATATTAATGGAAAAAAACGGCCTGTCTTTTGGCCTTTCATACTCCACTGAAAATTTAATCAGCCAATCATGTTTCTCAGCTATTTCTTACGAGTGGAATACAAGAAAAAGATTAACAATTAAATTATCCGGTGACCCTTCAAAATTCCAATGTGTATTTAGTATTTACTGTTATTTTTGGTTTACTTTCTTTCCAACTCTTGCTATATAACCCTGCAAGCCTGTCCAGTTCAGCAAAATAAGTGTGAGAATATTTGAAATGTAATGTCATGGCAGTGTTTTTGCAATTTAGATGTCCTGATTTTTTTTATATCTCGAATTGATTATTTTAAAATATATTTTAATTTGATACATATCTTTAAATTTTAGAGTGATTTGGTATGCCACATGCAAGCAACACTTTGGATGTCAAGACTGCCGGTGGTCATGCAAAATGAGGATGGAATCAAAGGCATCACGGAATGTAAATACAATTTCATGTAATAAAGTCATGCTAATAAATCATATGTACACTAATGGCAATGTAGAGAGCCAGAGAATGAATTGGATGGTAAGTACGCAAGTGATTTTATAGTGAAAAAAAATCATCTTTTGATTGTGTTTTAATCCTACTTTTGTCTAATAATTTGTTACCTATGTGTTTTCTGTTTGTGATAAAAGCTTTCTTCATTTCTGTTTTCCATTCAAGATTTGTTGAGCAAGAGGTACTTATATATCCATGGAACTCTTATTGTTTTCTTGAAGTATTTAGATTTATTGATATGTGTCCTATACAGACAAATTTGAAACACAATTAAAAAATGAAATTTTTTGTAAATATAATAATATCATTATAGGTACTATTATTTGATGATTAGAAGATATTTTACTCTAATATCTATTAAATTGTATTATAGAAGTATTGTCATTTTATATTGCAGAGAAGTAGAACCGTAGAAAATCCTTCAAACCCGTTATATTCCAAAATGAATTTGTTTCTTGGTGATTCATATCCTCATATGTAACTTCTGATGGCCTAAATCAAATATTTTGTCTCTTCAATACTGATAGCAAAATTTTGTTAATCAAGGGGTGTTTGTTTATGCTCTTTTAATATGCTTTTGCTCCTTAAAGTAAGTTAATGTCAATTCATTATAGTGATTATCTATCCCGCACAGCAAAGTCAATTCATGTCGATCAAACACTTAAGGTGGAACCAATTTATTGCAAATCACTTTAAAAAGTAGATGAAACAATAATCAATTCTGAAGCAATTAGATACTGGGCTTTTGTTTTTTTATTTTTTTTTTTTTTTTTTTTTTTTTTTTTTTTTTTTTTTTTTTTTTTTTTTTATTTTATTTGAATTAATTGCATGCTACACCCAGAACAGAAGCATGATTCATAAGAATCATCAGAACAGAAGCATGATTCATATCTAGATGGAAAGTCTTCTGTCAAAATTCCTATGAATGCTTCCCAAGGCATTGGACCTAATGATAAAGGAAAGGATGTTGATGCAACACAGTATAGAGGAATCATTGGATCTCTTCTCTATCTGACTGCAAGCAGGCCGGATATTTCATTTGCTGTTGGAATCTGTGCCAGATACCAATCTAAGCCCAAGGAAAGCCAACTAGTTGCTGCTAAGAAGATCATCAGATATATCAAAGGAAATCCAAATGCAGGCCTATGGTACCCCAAGGGAGGTAACCTTGAACTAATTGGTTACTCTGACTCAGATTTTGCAGGTTGCAGGATGGACAAAAAGAGCACCTCTAGTCACTGCCAATTGCTAGGTGGGAGACTTATCTCCTGGTTTAGCAAGAAGCAGAACTCCATCTCAACAAGTACAGCTGAAGCTGAGTATATTACTGCTGGAAGCTGTTGTGCTCAACTACTCTGGATGAAACAACAACTTAAAGACTATGGCATTCTTGCAAAGGAAATCAAGCTCCTCTGTGACAACACCAGTGCCATTGCCATCACTCAGAACCCTGTGCTACACTCCAGGACAAAACATATTGAGGTCAGTCATCACTTCATTAGAGATCATGTGGAGAAAAAGCATATTTCCATGGAGCATGTCACAACAGAAGACCAGTTAGCTGATATTCTAACCAAACCTCTCTCTGAGGCAAGGTTCAACAAGTTGAGAGAAGAACTTGGGATGATGGATGACATACCCAGAGATCATTAAAGGGAAGATATTCTATTGATAGACTCTCTGTCGCAGAACCCCTCTGTAACAGAACATCTGCGGGAAGGGACTTCTGTTACACAGCCCCTCTGTAACAGAAGCTCTCCTATCGGTTGACAGAAGGTTGTGGACTTAAAAAAAAATCCGAGAAATCTGAGTTTTTGACCTAAGTTACCTTTTGAAGGTCAATTACTCCAATACCCCTGGAGTTAACTCAGAGGTTTATTAGTTACTGCGCCACGTCGTATTTAATAGCACGTCCTATTTATGGTCACGTTCTATTAAACAAAACATCGGGAACTGACAAAATTATCTCAAACGTCCACTATTCCAAATCATATATATACCATTCATCCCCAATTTAAAATCCCTACTGCTTTCATCACTCTCTAATCTCAAACGGCAAAAATCCTAAAGCTCTCTAAATCTCTCTTCATTTTCCGAAATGGTTGTCATCGGCTTCAACTCCCTAACCAAATCTCAGAAGGAAAGCTTGACCAAAAATGTCCTCACCGGGATGAAGTGCGACCTCTATGCACTACCAAAACTTGCCGAAGACAAGGACTTGGTGGACAACATCATCACTGGTATTGAGATGTCCCAACTAATCAAAATCATATCCTTCAACTATTCTTAGTACAACACTCAGGATGTAGCTGAGTTCTATCTCAACGCTGACTACGAAGGGGAGGTCATCACCTCCACTGTCAATGGTGAGAAGGTGACTATCACTGCTGACATCATCAACAACCACTTCAAAATACAGACTGTGAATACTGACATCGGATTGCTTGACCTTGACATCATCTCCCTCTCCGTCGACGAGTTTGCCTTGAACTATAGAAGATCAACGGAGAACGTCACAAAGCTTTCTGGGAAAAAGTACTTTCTAAAGAGGGATATCGAGATGTTGGTAAACATCCTTCACAGGTGCGTTTGGTGTAGATACTCCTCCACAGACGAGTTCACAATCTCACAGGCCAAAGCAATCTACGATGTTTTGCATGGTGGCAACATCAATTGGGGTCAGGTGATTATCAGGTCTCTGATAGAGTATGTCAAAATCGCTAAAAAGAAGAATGCTGAGACAGGCCTCTACTCTGGAAAAGTTGGTCATGGACTGCTCATTTCAGAGCTTCTGTTGAAAGGAGGTGGCATCAGAAACCCAAGCAATGTTGACCACACCAAGCTGATTTTCATGTTCACAACCAGCGACAGAGATGCAGCCATCAAGGCTGAAATAAAGCGAATGAAGAAACTTGAAATCAATAGGTTGAAGATGCAACAGAAGATCTCACAGAGGGTCTCTGAAACAGAATCTGAGGACGATATTTCTCTGATTCAGAAGATGGCCAAGAAACCTGCTGTTAAGAAGGCTTCTTTAAAGAAGAAGGTGACCAAGAAGCAGGTCACTAAAAGGAGAAGACCTTCTCCTAGTCCAGAAGAGCCCACCCCCTCTGCCGCTCCTGAACCAAAGAAGAAAAAAATATCTACCCCTGATGTTCTCATTTCTGAGGAAGAAGCTGATGCTCAGGGGGGACTAGAAGACTCTGTGCACTCTGAACAGCCCCAAAAGAACACTTGGCATGGAACAAGAATCGTCTTTGATTCCTCAAGTGAGACAGGAGAAGCAGTTGCAGTAGAGGATGGTGCTACTCAGGGGGAACCTGAGATACCCCCTTTCCTTGATCATCAAGATGTAGATCATGTGATTCCCCCCTCTCAAGAGCCACTCTCCATTAACAACAGAACACCTGAAGAAGAGGAACCTCAAGGTGACATTCTCAAAGCACTAAACAAGCAGTTTGCTAAAGTGCTTGAGTGGAGAAAATGGAGGTTAGGATCACTCTCTCACATCCTAAAATACTTCGGATACTATTCCATAGAAGAGCAAGGGGTCTACAACTGGACAGGAACAAATGATGTGTCCAAATGCACCGATATCACCTTCTTGGAATCTGTTCTAGCAGAAAAGAAGAGACAGTTCAAAGGCAAGACTCTCTGGGAATCCAGAGCAGTGACGCATGGCACAATGATTCCCCCACTTACTGAGCAAGAGGTTCCAGAATTTGAAGCATGGCTGGTGGAGAAGACCAGGCAGGAGTCTCTTGATCCTAAACACCAAGAGAAAGGTGAAGGTGGAGAGCCCTCTGATGCGACTGCAATTTTTGCTCAACTAATTGCAGATTGGAGATTATCTCAGACTGCTACACATAAGGTACCTACTCCCTCTCCCCTTCCATCCCCTCAACATAATATTCCATCCCCTGCAAAGGAGACAACACCTATCCCCTCTCCGCTTGCCTCCCCAATTGTACCCAATCCTTCGACTTCCTCACCACCAAAGAACATCTCATCCAAACCACCCACACCCTATGCCTCTGCTAATGAATCTCTACACAAACAAAGCACCCAGTCTACACACCCAATCCCTCAGAAAACTCCATCCCCCGAACAACCATCACCACAGCCATCTCCACCCCAACAGAAACCCCCATCTCAGAACCCCTCTCCTTGCAAACAGATGACCCCACAACGATCCAGATCACATTCTCCACCACCCCCTTCACCTCAACATCAGCAACAACAGGGTAGCAACAGCTCCTGTGATCCTAAAACCATCTGTGTCACTCCTGCCCCTCAAGGTTACTCCAGACATTCTACAGCCTCCAACCCCTCTCCAACTAGAAAACAGCAGATCAACAGAGATAAACTCCCCTTCTACTCCTCTTATGAAGGCTCCTCCACTAATGAAGACCTTCTGGGTCAGACAGGGTTCCTCTACAGCAACCCGGATGTTGCCATCTCAAAAAGGGAGAAGACCCCTCCGCGATACCAACAAAAGTCTAGCTCTAGCTCCTCTGCCCAAGAACATATTCCAGGCAGACCTCCAGTACGCAGGAATTCAGAGAATTCTTGCAAGCTGCTGGAGGATTTGCAACTAAGGTTAACACTGAACTCCTTACTCTATCCTCTACTGTCACTAACATCCAGCAGGCCCTGACTTCTGTTCAAAGCTGCCTGATCACACAAGATAAAGTCATTTCTTCTCTAGCCTCTTCGGTAGCTCAGTTGAAAACTTCTGATCAAGAACAAGCTGCTCTGCTCCGGAGAATAGAGGCCCTCTGCTCTGACAACATAAAAAAGACAGAAACTCTTGCCTTTGTTGACAAAGAAAGATACAACAAGCTTGTTCTCCTTGAAAGCAACACCAAAACTATTGCTACTGATGTAGGAAAGCAGAAGGATTTGCTCGATTCCCTTGCTCAAGTCACACAAACTCTTCCCACTACTATTGAAGACTTGGGTAAAGCTCATGCCTCAGAATTTGAGAAAATCAGCCTCCTCCTACAAGATCTCAATGATGCCAAAAAGGGGGAAGAGAACCCTCAGTCAGCTCAACAGATGCAGCTTGTCAGGACATCTACACCTGACCCTACACCATACTTTGAACAACTTAGACTCAAGAAGAAAGTTGCTGCCGGCTCCTCTGCCCAGCCATCTATTCCAGCCCCTCTGAAGAAAGGAACTAAGAAGAAGGCTCTGACCTTCTTAGACTGGAGGAAAGAAGGTTCGCTGAAGATAACCTCAGTCCAATTTGAGGAATTGAAGAAGAAGATGACCCCTACTCAACAGGAGAACATCTATCTTGACTCTGATGGATCTCTGAAAGTCAAGCATGGAGGTTCATTTGAAGAAGTTGAGTACTGGTATAAAAGAAATGTGCTCCCAGGCAAAGATGTTGATGAAGCTGTTCTCCACTACTTGAATCACAAACTTGCTCCTGTATGGGCCTCTCTTCAACAATCAAATCATCTGGCTATAATAAGAGCCGGAGTAAACGCACAGCTTCAGGATTATGACAGAAGAGAAGCATTAGCCTTAAGAGCAGGTCTGGAGGAAAATATGTAATTAAACAACTCTGTACTTCTCTTGACCCTTCTGCTCAATAAAGTCTTCTGCTTACTCTCTTTCATTATTTATTCTCTTACTTTATTGCTTTTTAAACTCATGTTTGGAAAACTCTTACTACTCTCTATGCTAAGTTGCCCACCAAAAATAAAATTTTGATTTCGAAACTTTTCTTTTATTGGTGAAAGGGACTTCTCTGAAAGTAGAATAAGGGTTTTGACATCATCAAAAAGGGGGAAATTGTAAGGAATAATTGTAATTAGATTTTGATGATGCTATAGGATCTTAGAAATATCCCCATAGAAAATTGTATTTGAAATTTCTTTGTAACTGTTTAGCATAAGTCGTCTGACAGAAGACCTCCAGACAAAAGTCGTCTTGTCTCCTCCTCCAACGGGAAGACAACCTCAGTATAAAAGATACTATTCGAAGAACAACCAAGTAATTTTGCCACAACTTGTGCTCTATTTACAAACAGCCTTCTTGAGATTCAACACAAAAAAAAACTCCATAAACAAGAAAGGCCTACGTTGGGAAGATCATAAATTCATATATTCTTCATCACCAACAAGGGCAAAGTTCCTATTGTTCTTCAACTCTTCAAGCACCTCATTACAAATTTTTTGTGACGAAGCAAGTTGGAGAAAACTCTGTTTTCAACAGAACATCTTCTGAAAAGAAGGACGTCTTAAAGTAGCTTGAGTAGTGAAGTGGAGATACTTCGAGGAGACTCAGTGAAACAAGACCAGTCTTAAAGGAAGCAAGGAAGTGCATCCCAGGAGACATCTAGACTTGAAGAAGACGTGGAGAGCTTCTTAAGTTCTAGGGACTAAGGCGTTGTAATCGTTGTTTTACAAGCTTAGTGGAACAGTGGATTAGAGGAACGAGTTGTTCCTTCAACCGCTATAAAAATCCCTGGTGTCATTTACTTACTGCTTTTATTACTTGCAAACTGTTTAACTCCAAAGAAGTGATATCTGTGTTCAACAGAACACCTCTTGTGGGTTATCAGAAGGCCAAGTGCCTTTACTCCTCTGTGAGGCTAACCCGCCAAGTGATATCCGTCCACAGTTGCTGATCGTGGATTAATCTTCTAGCGGAGCCCGAGACAAAAAGTGTGTGGCATTTCATCTTCTATTAAGCTATATTTAGTCCAAACATAGCATTATTTTCCACCAAAATGAATGAAAATCATAGCTTGACCCCATCAGTTCACGTATGTTGTTTCAAAACAGTAAACGGAGAAAAAATACCAGAAGAAGGATGAACTTCCCAATTTAGGCCAACCAAGTGAAATTAATTCACAAACCAGAAGTAATTGCTCCTCTGATGAAGTCTGCTATGGGGTCTGATGAAGTCTGGTGTTCGAAGAAATGGGAGTTGTTAATTTAGGATGTCTGATGAAGTCTGATGAAGTCTGTTAATTTAGATTTCCAAATCCAAACTGTATCTATTTTTTTTGTGTTTTGTTGATGTGTGATCCAATCCTTGTGTTTAATCCTGAATAAGATTTATGATATGTGATCATGTGATCTAGTTATGTGTTTGTGATTGAGACTTTCTGAACTTATAATTGTACATATCTTTAGTTTAAACATAGCCAATTACAATTAAATCTATTTAGAGATTTACTACCTCCGTCATGTATATAAATAATGATGGGATCAGACCCATGAAGTGTATAGGTTTCCTACTGAAATGTTGGACCCACATAACGTAACTTATTCTATTTTTTAGAGCGGGAATGCTATGGATTTTCCTTTATTGCTGTGAATGTAGTAGGATTATTATTTGTTGGAATTTCAGGCTTATGCCTCACGCCCTCACTGCTCAAGGCTTGGACCTTGCCTCCCCAAAACAAACCACCCTAACACCCAAAACTACCCTTTCTAAACCTTAGACATTGTTGGAATTATCATGACCTATTTTTCCTATTAATAACACAAACATTTCTATAGATTGAGAGTCTATTTATTTGATGGCTAGGACTATTATTTTTAGCATAAACAGAGGCTTTACTTCGACAACAAGATCATATAATTCTAGGCATAGACAAGGTCCACATCTAAGGTGTCTCTCAAGGATGAGACTCTTCCGTCGTGATAAAAAAGCCTGCCATATCACAATCATGCCCATGTTCACATGTTTTGTACTAGTTTATGTTTTGTACTAATTCAAGGCTTAAGCATTTTTCTACTGTTCTAGAGCGAATACATTTAGCATAAAAATTAGATGTCGTGAAAAAAAAATGTAAGCATGGAGCTCATTAAATTTTCTTATTTAATGGCAATCTATAATTCTTAATTGATATTCAGAAGCTGTTGTTTTAATGATTTTAATATTAATTGACATTATAGATGTGGGACGCGTAAGGAACCTTTTTACTCCAGGACAGGAAATTTTAAGGAAACGGGAAGCGGAGATTGATTGGGGTATACCATCAATGTTCCGCTCGTGGGCAAAGATTTTAACGATAAAGAATATTGTCTGGCTTGGGATTTCATATTATTACCCATTGCCAGACAATATAAGCCTCAAATTATTCTTATATCCGCAGGATTTGATGCGGGTAAGAAAACATATGTTAGGCTCATCTATTTTGTTTATACAATTTCATATAAGGTTATAACAATAACTCTTTTCCTTTTACACGGCGTTTGAAGACCCCATTGGTCTTTCCTCTATCACACCATCGGGTTTTGCGATGTTGCTCAAGAAGGTATATGTTCTTTACTTGTATTTTCAGCTTTCATGTTCTGCTGGGTCAGTTCAAGGTAGATTCCTATTTTCCATTTTTTATTTTCTATTTTTCATCAGCCGTACACCTTGAATTTTAGCACCTTTCAGTGGTATTATAATTTTGTTTACAATAGGTGATGA